TTTTTGTAGAATTTATTTATCAGTTTCTGAGTGAAAAATAGAATGATTTCTGAAGGATCATGTGACACTGAAGACTGGAGTAATGGCTGCTGAAAATTCAGCTTTGCATCACAGGAATAAATTAGAGTTTAAAATTTATTCAAATAGAAAACAGTTATTTTAAAATGCAATAATATTTCACAATATTACTGATATTTTTGACCAAATAAATATAGCCTAAGTGAGCATAAGAGACTACTTTCAAAAACATTCAAAAAATCTTATGGATCTTAATTTTTTGAACAATAAAACAAATATTTGAGTATGTTTTAGAATAAAATTTCAGTTTTTCATCCTCTAAAAAAAATTAATGTGTAATTCAGTGTGTTTTTACTAGAAATTTACTAGCAATTTCTGAGTGAAAATTGTTTCCTTCACCCCATTTCTTTTCTCAGTGTACAAACCAAATTCAGACAAATTATCGTGTGACATCTGTTACAGATAGTTTACCCCAAAAAATGAAACATAAAACGATGTTTAGAAGAATGCTTCAACTATTTTAGCCCATATAGTCAAAGTCAATTGGACCTCATTGGCTTTCATTACAAAAAAAAAAAAAAAAATCTTTCAAAATAACGTTATACAGGTTTGGAACAACATAAGGGTGAGTAAATGATGACAGAATTTTCATTTTAGGTGAACTATCCCTTTAATTACTCGTTACAAATAGTTACTTTGAAAGTTGCATTCAAAGTGATCTTGCTGCTCAGACCTGAGGAGCACGTAAGTTTGAACGGGCATGACGCTTCTGTGTGAATGCATGCAAAACGGACACTTAGAAGTCCTGGCATGTGCACCTCCGGGCAGCACTCAGCCCTGCTCCTCTCGCTGCCAGAGACGCTTGTCTGATGAGATGCCGTCTGCCCTAGTGCTCGTTTTTGCCAATAGTTGTGTTTGTCGGAGGGCTGATCCATATTGAGCCACAGTGAAAACTATCAGCTCCTCGTGCAACAAGTATAAACACTCAATAAAACACATTGACACAGCTAACACTGTCAGATTAGCCCTCGCCAGCCCCTGCTGGTCAGTCTCTTTCTCTCTCTTCCTCAAGGATCTTATTTAGTCTCACGAAACGTGCTCATAGACGTGCCATTCAGCTCCTGCAGGATGAATAATTCCCTCTCTCTCTTTCTCTCTCGGGACAGTGGGAGATGCAGGACAGATGAATAAGTGTATGACTCCAGGACGTGAGTGAAACAGTAGATCTGGTGAAGCTCCTCGGCAGGAGCGTTTCAGCTATGATTTATGTGTGGAGCGTGTGCATGAAGAATAGCAGAGGAGGAGATGCTCTAGAAAACTTTCAGCAACAGTTGAAGCCGGGCAGAAATGTTCCCAGAGGACCGTGGGTGCAGGTGGAGCAAACAGCAGCTCAGGTCATCAGTTACACCTGCAGTTTTTACACCTGCCCTAATTTGCTTGGTGTAATCCCCTCCGAGCGCTGCGTTTGTCATTCTGTTGTTTGGGGTCTTTATAAAAACAGGTTATCCTAAAATGACACATTATTAATATTTTACTCCCTGATTTACTGAAAAAAGAAAGTTTTAAGCAATATAGAATTTTCATAAGGCTGAAAAAGATTTTTACGGAAAGATATCGATTCTTAAATCCCAAGAATCGATTAGTCTAGCCTGTTTTCTGTTAATGGACGGAACGTTGAAGGGCACCTCCCATCCAATATATTGCATAAGCATTGTGCTTTGGTACGTTTAATATGAAACAAAGTCTCAATTTTCAAATTCTGTCCATTGTAGTGCAGTATTCAAACAAATAAATGCTGTTTAATGTGATGTGACATATCGCTGTAGCGCTTTAATACACGAGTTTCACAATTTGAGTTGAATTACTGAAATAAATGAACTTTTCCACGACATTCTAATTTATTGAGATGCACCTATATCTATCGTTGTCGTTCTATCTATCTGTCATTCTATCTATCTTTTTGTCTCTCTATCTTTTGTTCTATCTGTAGTAAATACCGTTGATAGTGTTGTTGGTCGGACTAGAACTTATCCAGACTAAACTGAATTTGCTCCGGATCTCCGTGATATTTATTTCCTCAGTATCTGACCTAGAGCGAATCCTGTTGTTGAGCGACCGCCGCCGAATACTGATGTGAAGATTGTCTTCATTCCATGATGCACTGGGTCAGTGTGACAGTGATGGATGTTGACCCGGCTGCAGAGTTAAAGAGAGCTCATCCCTGACGCTAGGAGGAGGAGAGTGGCCAACATTCTGGAGCTGAGACACAAACGCTTCCACACGCACACCTGCTGAGAGGGCAAGTGCTTTGTGAGGTCCAGTCATCCACACATTATGTGGTGCACGCAGCTGTTAACGCAAGGACCTCATGCACACAAACACACCTCACACTTAACCCATCAATAATAATCACATCATGGAGAAATTCATTGGTTCTGTCTTTGAGGAGACCTCTCTATTGACCACGCTGTTTTTTTTTCTTAGACTCATCCATACAGACATACACACTCTATTTTGAAACAGGGTGAGGGCGGGATGATATATTTATATTGACTGATGAATTTCCATTACATTTTCAAGCACAATTATCACCAAATTCTAAGGCAGCATCACAATACCCAAAATTTGTGTCTGTATGATATTATAGTTTAAAATGGTATTATTTTAGTATTATTTACTTACAAATAATATTTCTATACAAATATATAAATAATAATTTTACTGTTATTTTGAATTAGCTTTTGATTTGAATTATTTTAATTTGTTAGTTTTAGTAATTACATGTGCTTTTACCATTTTTATTTTGTAAAAGTTTCTGTTTAGCTTTATTTTTATTTCAGTTTTTGCAATTGTAGTAATTTAACTTAAACGTATTTCAGATAGTTGCCAATGCAAAAGTTTGTTTTTAATCTAATATTTATATTTTATTGCAGCTTTTAAATATTTTGTTTAGTTTTAGTTAATAACAACAACAAAGGTTCATCATTCAAGTTCAGACTGATTCACTAATGAAGCATTCAGTCCAATTTTAAACTGGTTTGAATGATTTATTGGAAAGAACCGACTTTAAAGAATGATTCGCTCACAAATTTTTCATTGCTATGGGTTGTAAGCAAGTTTTGCTCTACACAAAAGTAATATTTAGCCAATCCTCACAATCTATTTTGTGAGGGTTATTTAGTCTAAGATGATTTATTTATTTTGACTGATGAATTTCCATTGGATTTCCAACATAATTATTGCCAAATTATAAGGCAGCATCACAAATGGTATGTCTATGTTTTATTTTCTAGTTTTAAATTATATAAGTTTATTGGCTATTTATATATTATTGTAGTATAAGTTACATATTTAGAACTAGCTTTTATTTTAATGTTAAAGTTGTAATTTTGTGATGTGTCAATTTTTGTATAATTTTTATTTTGAATATTTAGCTTTATTATTTTTTTTATTTCAGTTTTAGAAATATTAGTACTTCAATTTAAACTTATTTCAGTTGATTGCCAAGGCGACATTTCTAATTTTCATCTAAGTTTTTAAATAATAATTAATAATAACAACACTGGTTCATCATCCAGAACAATTTTTGAACTGGTTTGAATGATACTTAAAAGAATTATTTTCTCACAAATTGTTTGTCACTATGGGTTGTGAACAAGTTTTATTCTACAAAAAATATAAAAATAAAAATAAATAATTTAAACACATTTTAAAATACATTTTATTTATAATAAATAAATAAATAAATAACTTAAATTAAATTAAATTAAATTAAATAAAAAAATATTTAGCCAATTAAATGTATTGTAGCAGAGCATAAAGATGAACATTCTTTACATACATTTCCATGCCTTTTCTAGGCCTACAAAACCATTTTTCCCTTGATATTCTTATGTTGTCTATGAGTGTGGAAACCCACAATAAGAGTTATCTTTGTAAAATGTCACGCACAGAATTGCTGAGCTGAGTTTTTTTTTTTAAAGTGTAAAGATCCATTCACTTCCACTGGTTGTTAGCGACGTTAGCATGGCCTCATTGTACTGCTAATGAGCATCATTAATTTCCGCGTGTTGACTGACCTCTGATGCCTGCTCAGCCCTGACCACACCATTACACTCACAAATAAAAGGTTTGGCGGTTTCCACACATTTCTAAACATGTCCTGCATTGCCTCGCAGCTCTTCCTGTCCCAGACTCCCTTTCAAATGCTAATAAGTGACGCAGACTCATCGTTTACAGTGTGTAGGCGGTGTTGCTGTACATGGCTTCCTCTTCATAATCAAAGAGCTCACCGTGCAGTGACCGCCGGGCTTGGCTGCCTGCAATGCTGGCGTGGATTCCCGAGGGTCTAGAGTTTGAATTCTGCTCAGAGCTTGAAATGAAGCCTACCACATCCAGCTAGCAAACTATGTTAGCAAAGATGCCGGAGTGCACATCTGACTCATGGAACATGAGAGTGGACGATGCCATCTGAAATTTCTGTTTCTCATTCTCTGTTCATTTTGGCATGCTCAGGCCATGCATGCTTTTCTATAAACGTACATATAAGAAGTTCATACTGCATCTCATAGCAAGTTTAATTTTCCCCCAGAAGTCCACTTATAACATGTATTGACATCAGAACCACTACAGTTATATATTCTTGCATGCACTTAGTACGTAAAAACGTAGTACTTTGTACTTGTATTTCGTTTATTAACTTTATAATGGGTTGCAATAAAAAAATAGTGCCAGTGCAGTTGTTCATTAATTAATTAATTCATTCATGAAATGTCAATGTTCTTTATATGTCATAGTGTACATAATATACAGTTATTATCAGGCCAATATCATTTATAAATAATAATAAAAAAAATAGTAAAGCGAGTGATTTATTTTTGTTAATTTGTTAGTTGGTCTCCTGTACAGCATTTAAAAACATCATTGCTGAAGAATGAAATGAAAATGTAATGTAATAATCTCGTTTTCTCTCTGTCCTTCAGCTCCTGCGAATGCTCAGATTGTGCATTCTGGGCAGACATGTGTGGTGAAGGAGGACAACATCAGTGAAAGGATCTACACCATCAGAGAGGGGGACACGTTAGTTCTGCAGTGTCTGGTCAAAGGACACCCGCGGCCTCAGGTGAACACAAACACACATTCACTAGTGGACGAAAGACATGCATATGGGTCCAAATTAAACGTTTTGCCACACCTTCCAATGGTGAATGAATTTACTGGAGAAATATTGCTATAAGCCAAGAAACTTTATTTTACATTATTTTATTTTAAGCAAAAAAATTTGTCCTTATGACAGTGGACATATTTGTGTCAGACAGTGCAGGTCAATATGTCACTTGTACATCTCCTACAGTATAAGATATTACATCTCTCCAAGTGTACATCTGTCT